CCAGATATCATCCACAATACTTTTAGGGACTATAAAATTTTCCATTATAACAGATATGCTATGATTTAAGCACTTACTCAATGATAGCTCTTTAGGTTATTGCCAGTGAAGGGGACACTAAATGAGACTCTTTCTAAATGCATGTTAGCAGAGGCTTCCAAGTCTTCAATAATGAAAAGTGCTAGACCACTTAGATAGGGGTCTCTACCAACTGGCTTAGGACACGGATGTCATCGTGCATCTAAAACAGAACAAAACAAAAATATTGGGACTGGGGTTGTAGCTCAGTGGCAGAGCACTTGCCTAGCATGCATGAGGCACTGAATTCGATCCTCAGCACCACATAAAAATGAACAAATAAAATAAAGGCACATGCAAGGCCCTGGGTTCGATCCTGAGCACCACATATAAATAAATAAAATAGTTATTGTGTCCAGCTACAACTACAAAAAATAAATATTAAAAAAAAAGAATTTAAGCCAAAGATGAGTGAAGAAAAAGGTTAGATTAATTTATCTCTACATCTTGAAAAGTTAGGCTTGAAGCAGAATGAAGAATTCTCAAGTTTGAGGCTCAGGTGTGTGGAATGAGAATACATTCCCTAGCAGCAGAAGGAAGTAGAGAACTGAGTTACGATCCTTGCTGGGGAGCATTCTCAGAGCTACACCTGGAAGGAAGGGATGAAGGCAGGATTGGTGGAGCCCAAAGCTTCCTGGATTGGGAGGAACCGGAAGCTTCTTGCTGTGTGGCTGCAACTAAGGATCCACCAATCCTTCTGGGAGTTTTGGAGCTGAAATGGCACTTCTGAGGTGTTCTGAGTTGAGGTGAGAGGGCTGGGCCACTTTATTCCTGCTTCAGTCCATGAATACAGGTCACCCCTGAGAGGGGCAGAATTTTGAGTGAAACAATTATGTGAACCTCATTTTATTTCTTTGGTAGTGTGGATCAAACCCAGGACTTCACACATGCCAGGTAAGTGCTGTAGCACTAAGCTGCACCCCAACACTTCTTTTAATTTTAACTTTGAATCCTGGTCTCACTAAATAGCCCAGGCTGGACAAGAATCTGTGATCCTCCTGCCTCCTGAACAGATGGGATTCCAGGAGTGCTCCCCATGCCTGTCTACAGCAGTTTCGGATTCCAGCATCAGGGAATAGATGCCTTCGCCCTAATGAGGAGCCTGGATGAAGTGCCATAGTATCCACCACAAAAAGGAATCCAGATTTCTTTCTTTCTAGTCCCCAAGAATTTCACTGAGGCCCCCATCTTTGCATTATTTTCACCATTTCTGTGCTTCTCTCAAACTTAGGGGAAATTATTCTGCCATCTCCTAAAATGTACCAGAAAGTGCAGAGGTGTGTGAGGTTGTCCTGGGCTGCTAGATGCATTTTTAAAAACACACATTCACTCATTCTGCTCCTTCTGGGCAAGAGAAAACCTTCAAGCCCAGTTTCTTTCACAGGCTTCCCACATTTTCTCCTTGTTCAGGTTTCCAAACATACTGAGCATCTCTCTTCTCTCCTTCACCCCAGTCTGAGCAAATTTGCATGCTCAATAGACAGAGTGGGATGAAGAGAAACAGGGATGTGACAGGATCAAGGGAAACAGTGCTGCTGGGAACACATTTTTTCCCCCACATAATTTTTATGACATGAGCTCTCTCTGGGTCTAGGTTTTTTGTTTTGTTTTGTTTTAATGTTCAAAGGCACAAGCTTCAGAAATTTAAAAATAATTTTCTTTACTTTCCCACCATAACAACCTTTCCCTGAGGCAAGGATGCATTGACTAAATGAATAAAGGACAAAAAGTTAAAAAAGATTTCAGAAAGGGAATTCTGGGTAATATCTCAAAATAGTATCCTGTCACAATTATATCCAAGGACACTAACAGGACCTGTGGGTAAGATCAATGAGACCTTGTAACAGTCCTTGATGGTTCATGGATTTAGGGAAATAGATTGGATGATCAAAGTCAGGAGAAGGACTCAATTGTTTTCTAAACAAAGAAATAGGGTGCTATAAGTCTACCAGATGTAGACTGGTAACCTTAAACTTCTACTTAGCAATTCCAGAGAAAACTCATCTTGTTCTTTTCTTTGATAGTTTGTCTTGATCAGGCAAAGAATGATGAAGTAAGGTATCTGGATTTCAACAAATGACTTGACGGTCACCTGAGATATCATTATGATATCTGAAGGCCACTGAGTGGTCACATGTGGACCACGATTCTAGAGACTCTACTTGGTTCCTATCCTTTGAGCATTGCTTCTCTTAAGCCCTGTTTTTGTTAACTGTTCATTGTGAAGAGCTAGTCGTGAGGAGATTGTGCCTTTCTTCATATGTGCCGGTCTCAAGCTTGCTAACCACACAAGAAACACAGCCCCCCATTTCTGTGTGAATGCAAGGCAGTTGGGGCCAGCAGTGTACCCTTCTGGAGTAGTATGGAGGGAGAATAGTGCAAATAGCTCAGGATAAACCAAGCAGATTTTTATTAGTCAGCTGAAAGCTGATCATCAGTCACCACCACCTCGGGGACAATAGGGTACAAACTCAGCTGGTCCCAAAGTTGATCCTAGAGGATCTGAGGCTACCTGCTCATGAATACAGTGAGACCCTCCCTGCACTCCTCCAGTGGCATATTCCTGTATCAATTATTTCCATTTTAAGAACATCAGCTCTTCTGAAAAATGACTTCTCATTAGGGTGTTTCCCGGTCATCACCCAAGACATCATAGGTGCTTCTGGTTTCAAGGTGACTTTGTGTCCTTTGGCCATAGTGGCAGTTTCAGTTAATTCTCCTAAACAGCAAGATCATAATATACGCCCATATATACCACACTGCCCCATCTGGAAATTTTCTGGCCTCAAATCCCAGTGGTCACTCTGAGGTAGTACTCATAGACTTTTGCCATTACCTCTGGTCCATGGAAGTACAAATTGCAGATACTTCTGAAATCATAAAGGACCAGTGTTGACAGAGCTGTCACTTTTTGCAATTTGGACACAACCTGCTGTTGTGAAAGTTGCTTTTCAAATCCAGCCTTTCTCCAGGTGGTCTTAATGGGTAGGAGATATTAACTTGCGTCCACTAAGTACAAACAGCCCATCTGTGCACCATGTCTTTTCCTTTCAGAAAGGGAATTCTGGGTAATATCTCAAAATAGTATCCTGTCACAATTATTTCCAGGGTAGAGAACAACATTAGTCTTGTTCTGGGTGCTGTGGAATGTCACAGGTGGTTCCTATGCTGGTTATGCCTAAGAATGTCACCATTGGGTGGGCTCCAGGATCCTTGTAGATTTGTCAACCATTGTTAAGAGTCTGTAAACAAGTCAAAATAACACCTGGCATTTTGCCAGGGGAATGTTAGAGTCTGTAAACAAGTCTGGATGGTGCCTGGCAAAATGCCAGAGGGAGTGGTTTGAGAAGTAACAAAAGCGAGCCATTAAGTGTGGAGATTCCTGATTGGTTGACTGATGTATCTAGTTTATGCTAATTAGATAAGCTGTGTGGAATGTATAAATACTGCTCCTGTCCTGCAATAAACGGCTTCCACTCCTGCTGTATCAATGTACACAAGTTGTTCGTCACCCCTCCCACCCCCCCCCCCCCCCCCCACCCCCGTTATTTTGCTGCAGCCGGACTGCGGCAAACCATCCTGTTATCGTGGGTGTCACTACTACATGTGAGCTAGCCCTGGCTTGTTCTTCAGTTTCTGATGTTTCCATAGTATCACCAATACAGTGTGTCATCACCACTGTGAGCTGATGATGAATTTAAATGGCCATGTGGCAGTATGACAAGTGTAAATTGGAACCCTCCCACATGAAGAGAGACTGAGGTGGGCTTTTTATTCTGAGATCATGATCAAGAAAAAAAAAAAAAAACAACAAACAAATATTTGCACCATCAGCCACTGAGCTCCAGTCCCCTTTGCCTTGTCATTTGTGTGTGTCTTTGAAACCCTGTCAGGGACTGCTCATGCTGTAGGTGGCACTAGACTCAAGCCTCAAAAATACTGTTGGTCTCCAAGAGCCTTTTTCTTGGTCCACACAGGGATTTTAGATAGAGAATTTGGTGGTGCCAGCACCCCAACTTCAAACATGTCATTAATTAAAGTGATACTTTCTTTTTGCCCACTACTATCTATCCAATAATATTTCAGACTAACAAGTTATGTGAGCTTTGGCAATTCTAGAGGTTTCCACTTGGTATGCCCAATTAATAATGACCAAGGGGCAAACTTACATGCCTTTGGTTTTACAATACTAGGTCTGGGAAGCATGCTTCATTCAGACATAAAATCCATCTCAATGATGCTTTCAGGTAGAGGAGATAGAAACACTTCATATAACATTGTCTCAAACATTATGCTACAAAGAGAAAGCTCCCTTTTTTTCTTTTTGATAGTTTGACATGGTCAGACAAAGGTTGTTGAAATAAGGTATTTGCAGCAAATAACTTGATGGGTTCCTGAGATGTTCTGGTCAATAAGATGCAAAAATGGGGACCAGAAAAGAGAAGGGCTAGAAGATTTGTGATACGATGAACCACTGTGCCTAAAGAGAGCTGGAATGAAGAGCAAAGTGTCAAGATGGGGACAGAACTGAGTACATGAGACCTGGTGAAGAAAAGCCTTGGGAAACCACAGAAATCTGGGAACCGGAAATTTACGACTCATTATTATCACAGTTGTAAAAATCTGTGATAATGACCAGTCAAGACCTATAAATATTTTATTGTGGATTAATTAAATTTTGGAAACATTTATTACAGACACAATAAAAAACCCAAAAGAACAAATATCACAAATGCAGAAGTAAAATGAATGATGCATTCTCCCCAGTACAAAAATTCACCCCATCTAGTGAAATATTAATTCTGTGGGGTGCAAAGAAAAAACACTCAGGCAAATTTCTGATCTTTGGAATTTGTCTCAAAAGCAAATAAAAATAAACAAACTCAGGTAAGGTGTTGTGAGGTAATCAGTTTCCAGCAGGGTGATATATTCATTCCACTAAATGCGCTGAGTGTCCACGCTGTACTCAGGGAATCCGGGAGCCCCCATGAGATTGCTTCTGGCTCCAAGGGGAAGCTCCCCATCAGAAGAATCAGGTAAGACACAACTGATACAGAATAGGACTCCACGGGGACTTCTTGCTCAAGTGAAAGGGAGACAGCACTGACTGAGGTAGTGTCCAAATGGCTCTCAGGACAAAGGAGAGAGCTAGTTTTATTCATGTGAATGGGTGCTAAGGGGTGGTTTAGAGTTTGGGAATGTTAATTGTTTGAAGGCTTTTTGTTGTGTGTATGTGTACTGGGAGTTGAACCTAGGAGTGCTTAACCACAGAACCACACCCCTAGCCCTTTTTGTATTTTATTTAGAGACAGGGTCTTGCAGAGTTGCTTAGGGCTTCCCTAAGTTGCTGAGGCTGGCTTTGAACTCATGATCCTCCTGCTTCAGCCTCCTGAGCCACTATTAAGGTACATTTCAAAAGGTGTTTTTCTTTTTTAAATGTATTTTTAGTGTGTTACTTAAATACATAATAGTGGGTTCATTTTGACATATTCATAAATACATACAATAGAGTTCTCTCCACTCAAAAGGTGTTTTTCTCTTCCTGGGTAAGCACTTTATCCTCAAGGGAGGGGTAGTTAGTTATTCATTCAGATGCCAAATATTACATTTTCACGTTGATACTGCATTCTCTACGACATCTCCATGTTGTGAGGAGGACGAGTTGCTGTAGCTGGTAAGAGAACACATAAGTGGGGAGTGGAAGAAAATGCAAATTATGGCAAGTAACATGTTAAGCCCTGGGGTTTTGCTGTTTTGGTGACTGTTCAACATTCTTATCCTGTATGTTATTTGTCCTTGGAGAGTCACGAGGAGGGTGTCCTGGCTTTAATGACACACCTGTTTCTTGAGGCTGATACGACTTTGAGTTAGCAAGAAGCCAGGGAAAGGCATGCCATGCCCCTGCTGGCTCACAGGTGTGAGTGAAAGTGGGGGAGAGGGGACGCATGTACCATGCCTTTCATACCTAACAAGCTGGACATTAAGACCCAGGAGAGCATTTCCCTTTGTGCCCATGGTGGTCCCTGATGGTCTCATTCCCCCATAATCTTAAGGGGTGCTGATTATTGTGGGGGTCCCTGGCTGTCTCAAGATGACTTTTAGGAGCACCTGCAGTTCTGAGCAGCCATGATTCTCCTCTTAGAAAAGGCAAGTGCGGAACCAAAACCCAGTGAGTTGTCACTTCTTTTACAAAAGTGTTTTACATGATTTACAGAAAAATTAGTGATTCAGAAAGAATTTTACAAAAGCCTGTGGATACACTCGGAGTCAATTTTATGGCTCATGACTGGCAACATTAATGGAAGCACTAATAAAAGTTATGATACATAGTCATAAAAACTCCTGAGCATGGACTCATAAATTATATTGCAACAGGATTTGCTAAGGCAGTTAATTTTTCCTTTGTGATTTAAGACAGAGTAGACTTTGCACTCAGCTTAGCTGCCCCTCAGGAGACTTATAAACTTCATTTTAGTCTAAAGACTGAGGTGAAACTCCACTGTTTCAAACATAAAACAACCGTGAGCATATAGACGTAAAAAAAGTGACATTCTAGGCTGACAAAATGGAAATGGCTTAGTCATTCCATCTGATGCTAGAACCCAGAGAGGACTCATGGGATACTCCCAGCTTGAAATTTGGTTGCTTTTGTCCCTTTCAGTTCTACCAAAATCATGGACCAAAGTTTGATGAGGAAGGAAGATGTATACTAGCTTTGGTGAGGGCTGTTGTTTTTGCACTTACTTCTCCCAACTTCTGGTTATCAGAGCCCTTTTCTGTTCCACTTAAGAACTGCTCCAGGTGTGATGGCACATGCCTATAATACCAGTGACTCAGGAGGTGGAGGCAGGAAGATTGCAAGTTCAAGGCCAGCCTCAGCAACTTGGCGAAGCTCTGTCTCCAAATTAAAAACAAAAAGGGCTGAGAATGTGGCTCTGTGGTAAATTGTCCCTGGGTTCTATCCCCAGTATAAAAAAACCAAAAACAAAACAACAACAACAACAACAACAAAAAAAAAACAGCTCCTATCACATCAGATGAAGGTGCCCATCCTAAGACTTCCCCTTCCCCTCCCTTTGGGGTGTGGCTCTTAATCCAAGTTCCCATCCACAAGAGCAGTTACTCTCCCTAGGATTGGGTTAGGGGGACATCTGATCCAAGGAGGTCCTGAATTCTTTTTCAGAGATTACTGGGGCTACCAGGAGGATGTGCGATCACAAGCCCTGTAGATCTTTAGAGCAGAGGTGCTGGGAACCCATCCTTGCCACCAGAAGGAGAGGCTCCCTCAGAGTAAACCAGCAGAAAGGAGAGGAGAGAGAGAAAGGGAGGGAGGAGCCTGATGACATCATCCAGCTGTGGTTACATCCTTCTTGAGCCTTAGACTTTTCAGATTCACACGACAATGAATTCTGGTCTCCTTCAACAAGTGTGAGTTCAATTTCAGAACTTGTCACCCTAAGTCTTTGTTCATTAACCATGGCAGTTACTTTTATTTGGTAGATAAAATAGCTTGTCCCCAGTACATTTTCTGATAATTATCTTCAAAGAGCAGGAACCCTGAGTAAGAGGAGGACTTTACAACTTAGAACTAAATATTTTAGTCACTCATCTCATTTATTTATTTTGGAAAAGTGACCCGCTCATTCCCACTACTTAAGAAGGAATATCACTGAGCATAAAAGCTGTCCTGAAATTGGAGCTTTTCTTTTCCAAGTGAAAGCAAGCTTGTCATTGTGACAGATTGCATTTTCCAAAAATGGCTGCACGGATTTATCAATTCCATCCCACATCCTCTTTGTACAATGTAGCTAACACTCCTCCTCCCAAGAGATGGAATCTAGATTCTCTTTCCTTGGATCAGACAGGGGCTGTGACAAGCTGAATTTCTGGGGTTTGGTGTGAGGGATGCAACATGGCTTCTGAGGCTGGGCTATAAAAGGATAGAACTCCTGCCTGCCTCTCTTGGGATGTTGCCCAGGGAACCCAGCATCTATGCTGGGTAGAAACTCAGGCCATCCCATGTGGAGTGGCTCCTATGAAGAGGACCCAAGAGCCCTAGTGGACAGCAGCATCACGTTCCTGTAATGTGTGTGAACAAGCCTTCAGATGACTCCCTCCCAAGACTTGGAAGCTTCCCCACTAGGCCCTCTATATAGCCATTCCCACTGTGCCCTGTCTGAATTCTAGACCACTAAAAGACATGAGAGATGATAAAATACTATTATTTTGTTAAGCCATTAAATTTTGGATCAATTTACCAAATAGTGATAGATAATTAAAACTGCTTGTCTTGGTTGAGATGAGATATATTTCTGAAAAAAAAACATGGAAGTATAATTGTATAGTTAAAAACCTATTTTCTCAGAAAGTTTAAGTAACAGTGGCAGAGGTATTTGGGAGGTTTAACACTGGTGATTGTGTGGCCTTTTAAGTAGGATGAGGCCTTCTCAGAAGTGAAAATGCTCAACTGAGAAGCAGGGAATCTCCAAACGACTGCTTAGCATTTGGATTCACTTCAACCTGGAAAAAATGGTGAAATCGAATGCTTCAGTATTAGAACTGTGTCTACCTATTTGAAGTTCTGCTTTATTGAGTCAGTTTTTGTTGGTGACTATAGCAGAAATGATGCACTGTGTTTTTTTTCCAGTCCATTTCATTTAACTCATGGGCACATGAGGAAAATTTCCCATCCTCCCTGCTGTTAGATAGAATGATTGAGTTCTGACCAATGGACCATGAGAGAAACCAAAGTGTTCTATCTAGTGGAAGGCATTTGAGGGCAAATATGCTTTCTTTGCATTCCAACCTTTTGTTTGGAACCTGGGGCAGCTAGGAATCGAACACAGAAGAGTTTCAGTCTGCCTGGATCCCTGAATGACTGTGTGGAGCATACCCTTCCTGCTCCCCACTCAGCTTTGGACTGTGAGATGACAGAGAAGTAAACATTTATTGTGCTAATCCATTGAGATTTTGCATTTTCTTTTTATTTTTTAGTTTAGGTGGACACAATATTTTATTTCTGTGTAGTGCTGAGGATCGAACCCACTGCCTTATGCATACTAGGTGAGCACTCTACCACTGAGCCACAACCCAAGTCCAAAGAGACTTTGCTAGTAGCAGCCAGTATCAATGAATCTGTGCAGTAGCCCATCACATAATTACTCACCACTATGTCTAAAATTCAGTTAAAAACCTGGCTTTAACTGCTTTCCCCCATCCCAGTCTACCCCAACTAATCAACCTGTGGATTTACATTTGACATCAATCCTTTTTCTATTCTTATTGCATTACTATAATTCAGCCTGTAATTGAACTCCTGACAGATTTAATCGTTCTCCATTCCCATTCTCCAGATAGAGTGATATTTCTGAAATGTTTATCTAATCACATCATGCTGCTATTTGTAACTATTTCCCTTCAACTTCATCTCCTTCTAGTCCCTGCTATACCTCCCTGTCTGGAATACACTCCTCTTACGCTCTTCTTTTCGTAGGAATGGATCTGATTCAGATTTTGGTGTTCTTCATCCAATAAGCCTGTCTTGAACCTCTGGTTCATTCTAGTCAGATGCCTCTGCTTATGAGCTTCCATAGTACTCTTCATTTGTCTTAGAGGAGAACTTAGGATACCTTATTTTCATTGTTTAGTTGTCTGTTTCTTCTGTCTGGATTATACATGCTATAAAGACTTTAGGACATTACACATTTCTGGGTCCCAGAAAAATGTCTGGCATGCAGTAGAAAATGTATAAATATATGTAATACATATGTATATACGCCACATACATATCATATGTATACATATGTGATTGATGATATAAATCAATGACCAAAAAAAAAAAAAACCAAGCAAACAGAAAACAAAAACAAAACTCCCAAAGACCCTTCTTTCACATAAGTATATTAACTGATGTCTAAACTAGAGTTAGCAATGCTATAAGTAAAAATAGTTCTAAAAATCATTTAAAACTCAGCCATTGGGCTGTGGTTGTGGTTCAGTGATAGAGTGCTCACCTAGCACATGTGAGGCACTAGGT